TTCCAAGAGGATGTAAAATCTTAACAGCACTCATCAAGATCAGGACAAGTATCTTGTAAGGATGTGCGAATGCCCAAATTTTCTTCAACTCAAAACACAACTTTATCTTGAATAAAATTAATAATATTGGAAAGATGCACTTTGGAATAAACAAAGTTTCAAAGATCTTTATGTCAGACAGTGCTTAAGATTGCAAAGGATTTTTCTTCCAGACCAGATCTGGTGGCCACCCCCAGCCTCCTATTCAATGGGTATCACGGCTCCTTTCCCCAGGAGTAAAACGTAGCAGGGGTGTGACGTTGACCACTCACCCCATCTGGTGCCAAGGCCAAGAATGGGTAGTCTCCCTCAAATGTGCCTCCATGGCATGCACTGGGACAGCTTTACTTTACCCCCCCCCCCCCACCCCCAGTCTCTTCACATTCATGCCTTTTTCTAGTCCCCGTCATTCACACAGTATACCCACTATCATTCAAGAATAGTCTTGTTGGGTAAAACCAACTGATAACCAACAAACAAAAGTAGTCAATATACTATATAATTTCATGTCAACTACTGTATACTAATAATTTATTAAAAAATAAAATATTTTGATCAATGTCTGTCTTCCTACGATATTTCCCTATTGAATGAAATCAAACATTCCATGTCCAAGCATCACTAAAGTCACAGTGAAATACTGAAGGTAAGAATTTTATTTGCTGTACGTGACCCACGTAACTTAACCACAGTCGCCAGATAACTTTTTGATACGGTTCATCGAGCCCAGCCTCAGGAGCATTTGGCCCAAGCCCAAATTTCTTCAGATATGTTGCCAATGCCCCACTGAAGCCCAAACTCTCTATATTCCAAGCCAAACAAAACCCATTCTATGTACAATTTTCTTTAAGTATCGTATAATTAATATATGTTTCTTTTAATTCTTAAATTGTCCCGCGCCGTAGCCGCGCGGTCTGAGGCATCATGCTTTGGACCGGCGATACGAAATGCGCGCTGGTTCGAGTCTCGGGGGAGAAGAAATTTTCTCACGAGCTTTCGACCAGTGTATGGGACCGGTGCAAACCCAGCATCGTGAGGAAATTGGGGAGCTACAATGAGTAGCGTAATCCGGTCATGAAAACTAGCAATGGCCGGGGGTTTGTCGTGCTGACCACACGTCACCCTATATCTGGTTGGATGATCGTTCACCTCCGCTTAGGCATGTGAACATGAGGCCAGCAGTCAAGCTAGTCGGCTTTGGCTCTCTGGAGCTGTTACGCCACGGATTTTAATTCTTAAATTACAGTAATCTATGAATGAATTATTCAGTGACACTGTAAAACATCTGAGGTTATTTTGATATTTGAAGAACCATATAAAGACACTAAATGCCAAGTTTGTAAGGTGTTTTATCTCAAACTATTTCTGGGAGGGGACGACTAAGAAAATCTTTAAGAAGCTCAAGTCACTGGGATTTGTTTCAGAGCCCAACTGTGTCACGAGCATCGAATAAGTACAAATCTGAGAAATCCTGAAATGTTCTATATAACGTATGATTCCTATCATTTCAATCGTTCCAAAACCTGGTCAGGACCCAAACATTATCTGCGACCCTAGGCCTGGCCCTTGAGCCGAGTCAGACAAAGCCCAGGCAAATGGAGACCTCTAGCAACGACTACTGACAGAAGCATGTAGCTGCTGAAGGCAGAAGAATAATCTCCGTATTTCCTAGTACTGCTATATCTGAGATAGGATTCCTGTCTCAGAAATGTTTTAAGTTATTATGTATTTACAGACTGTCCATGTCATTAACAAATAATAACAATCAGTCCAACTTCTACAATTTGTTTCCTCTTTTAGACTTACCGACTCATATTCTTGGAATAAGTCTTGCATAGAAAGGTCTAGGAGACAGTGTGACACCATCATAACCATCTGGTGATGGGGCAGGAAAACCCGGGGGCACAGAGATGGTGAAGTTGTGCAGCAGCGTTGAGAAGAACAGGAAAAGACTTGACCTAGCCAGGGTTTCTCCAAGACATCGTCTTTTACCTGTAATAAACACAACACGGTACTCAAATGATCTCAAGCCCCACCTATAAAAAAAGTTCCGTTACAAATCTTGTCACTTACCAAATCCAAAAGGCATAAACCAGTCA